CTGGAACTGAATTAAGGCCCTAAAATTGTCACGGTAGCAAAACAAACCTGAATCTAGACAAACTCTAGGGTTACATGTGAATCAGTGATAGTTAGTGAAGTAGCACTAGCCAACCCTTCCCAGCTGTCTTCTAATTCATGTGTTTGGTTTACTTTATTTCAGGCTCTTGGGGGAAATATAATGACTGCTAGTCCAATTTCCGATCTCAACCCTGTCTTTATGGCTTGTGGTAGCAAATTGACTTTGGTGTCAAATGGTAAGTTTATTCAAAGTTCTAAATGACAGTGTGGGATGTAGGGTAATCATTAGTCCTTTCCCCTGACTGCTTAGTTCAGGCCAGAACATAGGGGAAAAAACCTGCATGTAACATTAGGGACTCTGTTTTAGTCTTTGGGGCACTAAAGAGCCAGGGAGAACCACAAGGCCTATCTATGTTCAACAGTCTCAATAAAGAATCCCTTTTGCCTTTGTAATGGCAGATGTTCAAAGGAATCCCACTAACACCCCTTCCTTCTCCCCCGCTACACACAGAAACTTAACTGAAAAGGTCCATTCCTGAGGAAGAAGTAAAGGGATTATGGTGACTGTGGGAGTGAAGTCCGTGTTTCTGTCACCATAGTTCCATGTACTGGACAGGGGACGGGACTAGATGACCTCTCGAGGTCCCTTTCAATCCTGTGATTCTATGACTCTATGATCCCTGTGGGTCTTTGAGATCAGGGTTGTTGCCTGACTTTTCATAGAACCATAGGACTGGAAGGGACCTCAAGAGGTCATCTAGTCCAGTCCCCTAAACTCATGGCAGGACTAAGTATTATTTAGACCATGCCTGATAGGTGTTTGTCTAACCTGCTCTTAAAAATCTCCAATGATGGAAATTCCGCAACCTCCCTGGGCAATTTAGTCCAGTGCTTAACCACTCTGACATGAAGTTTTCCTTAATGTCCAACCTAATTTGCCCTTGCTGCGATTTAAGACCATTGCTTCTTGTCCTATCCTCAAAGGTTAACAAGAACAATTTTTCTCTCTTCTCCTTGTAACAGCCTTTTATGTACTTGAAAACTATCATGTCTCCTCTCAGTCTTCTCCAGACTAAACAAACCCAGTTTTTTCAATCTTCCCTCATACGTCATGTTTTCTAGACATTTCA